TTTTTAGAAAAGAATGGTGATATGCTTATCTCTGATGGTTGTGAGACTACTGTAGGCAGTGGTCTCCTAACTTTTTTACTGAGCACCCCATCAGCAAAAGTTTTACTTCTCAGTAACTTGAGGTTACAGACATCTGCTTCTGTGCCTATGTTGGGTTTTTGTTGGATCTCTCAATTGCAATCTTTGAGCTGGATGCCTTTAAAAGACCACCTTGCTGTAGTAATTTGCTGTCCTTCAGATGTATAACTAGCTCAAATAAAGCATTGCATAGTTTTGTTTGTCTAGCAGCAACATGTTTGTTCATATTGTATCTCATCTTAATTCTCCATATATTTGATAGTCAAATATATTGCTTCTATTTGCATGTTTTTATTTTTTTAAGGTGCCACAGAGCTACAGCCTGTGGTCATACAGGGCTAATCAAGAGCTGCTATTCTAGATTTAAAAACATTTAAAAAGAGTACTCTGTAGTTCAGCACATTAGAGCTTTAAAACAAAAGAATGAACAGGTAGAGAAGGCATCAGTTTCAGCATGAACATTGAGATCTCTGCATCTTCTCAATTTGAGAGCCATGAATACAGTGAAAGTATTTTCCTATTTATTGAATAGGATACCGAACTTTAAGTGGGGGGATGATGACTGCATTTGAAATTTCTGACCTAGAAGATTTATGAGGGGTAACTCTTCTGTGACAATGGCATTCCTTTGACTGGTCTTGACATCAAGAACACTTGATTTTATTAGGGCAAGTGTGGCATAGGATTTTTTTTTCTCCTTAAACTGTTAAGTCAGATTTTTGAAAGTTTTTTTTTGCCTTTTATAGTTCAGATGTAGCTTACTCATTTTTCTGTTCTTCTACACAAAACATTCCTCTCCAAAATTAGAAAACTTTTATAAATTTGAATTTTGGTATGTTTAATTTAAAATGAGTTTGCAGACTTGGAAGAGAGACCATGAATACTACAAAAGGCTGGGTTTCACTGTAAAAGTATTTCCATGGAGATGTTTTAAAGAAATCAATGTGCAGAAGATTTTTCTGGTAGGATAAACTGGGGATTTAAAGTTAAGGTTCCATTCAAAACTAATAAGGCTTACTTTTAGGCTTATAATGTACAATTGCTCAGTAACTGGGAGACTGTCACTTCCTATTATGAGAAGCACTTTGCAATGACTTAACAGAAGAGTATGTGCTACTTTGTTAGAAATGCTTTGCCTGTTCACACCATCCGTTCTGAATCAATGTTTTTTCTAAGTAGGTATATCTTTGTTTTGTCTAAGTGTAGCCTCTAATCTATGAAGATGTGAGAGCAAATGTTCCTGAATGAAAACAGAATTTAGCCTTATATCGGTGCTTTTTAGGAACTTATTCTAGAGGTATTTTGATTATGTCTTCTGTGCTTTTATTTTAAGATTCTTTTTCCATCATTCTGCTGAAAATCAATTTCTAGAATATGGCTAGACAGTTAATTGCTCAAGAAAGACTTCCTGCCCTGTGTTACATGGGCATGTAGGGTCATTGGGATAGTTAAGACTGGGACACCTCTCAAGGTCATCAACTCCAGTAGCACTCATGTTAGGCAATTGCTGATTTTTCTAGGAAGTCACTTAACTGAGTTGCGAAGCCAGGTAATGAACATGTATTTTTAAATAGGAAAAAAAACCCACTAAAATACAGTGTTTCAAAAATCATTATTAAAGAAATGTCATTATTTTGCTTAAAAATGGTATGTCAGATTGTTGAAACTAAGGGAAAGGAAGCTTTAAAATTTTAGATTATCAGAGAATTTCTCAGATGTAACCCTTGGGAACCAGCTGAACCAAAGGTGTTCTGTTTTATAGTGGGACTGTATTTAGAGTTACCACAGTATTGGATTATGATCATTTTAATCTATAATAGTAGATTTTTGGAAGCTATTACTGTTGGCCTGTTTTTAAAGCTAAACTCGCTTTTTATTTCTCAAATGCTGTTTAGCCACAAAACTGGAAGGACACAGAGCTATGAAATGGTAAAGTGGTGTTTTTATTCTCTTCTTTTGCTAATATCTCTTTCAGATTCCTGATCTATAACATCCATCTATCTTATTTTGGTGAGGCGAGGCTGTATGTGTAACTTGCAGCTTCACTTTGCAGGAGTTTGTTTTATTTTCTTTGGATTTTAAGTAATAAAACTTGTGAATTTAATTTTCCTCCTCTTTCTTTCACTCACAGTCATGGTCTAAGGAAATTCTTCTCCTGTCGAGGAATTGCAATAGCTGTTGACTATTTTTGGAAACGTGGCCACAGAAGTATTACTGTATTTGTTCCACAGTGGAGAACAAGGCGTGATCCTTTCATTACAGGTGAGGGAAATAGTTTTCTAATGTTTTCTATATTGAACTATATTGTAATTATTTGGATATTTCTGTGAAGAAGGAATACGTATAAAACATTAAGCATGAGCACTCTGGCTGCTCAGCTTGAGTAGTTGCATGTCCATATAATCAGTGTGAGACAGAAATGCTGTTTAAGCTAACTGATGTGTGCTAAGTAGAGGCCTTTTGATTTGGGTTTTGTTTGCTTTTTAATTTCTAATTTCAGTGTATTCCTTTCTATTTTTATAATAGCAGTTCTTCAGTTACCAGTATGCCATTTCTGTAGATTAATTGGTACAAAAATAGTTCATCTTATCTGTTAACTATCTCTTGGGCTAATTGTCAAATCTATAAATAGCCTAGAAGAAAGGTGGTGGGGTTTTTTTTAAGAACAGTTGTTTAATGTTTTAACAGAGCAGGATTTCTTAACGCAGCTACAGGATGTTGGAATATTGTCTTTAACCCCTGCAAGGATGGTTTTAGGAGCAAGAATTGCTGCTCATGATGACAGGTATGGAATATACATATCTTTTAAAGTATTTTTAAGCATCTAATGGTTGTAGAGTCTTAATACTTCATAAGTAGTTGTATTAGTTCTTCAGCCTGTCTAGACTGAGAGCTATGCATCCAACTTAAGACTGAGCTCTACATCTGTTGCACTACTTTACTGTCATAAGAAACATTTCTGTATGTAAATCTCCAATAATATTGTACATACTGTTTTGAGAAGTTTGTGGAGAACTGCAAATATTCTTTGCAATTTTAATTGAAAGAAAAAGTCCATTTCAAGTGCCACTGCTTGCATTGGGAAAGAAATTAGACTTCCAGTAATCTTTTTATACTTTGCTGATTATCGGGCTATGCCTGAATTGTCTTTTATGTTTGGGGAGCACTAGCATAAGTTGGCTCCTGATCAGGTACTGTTTTGGTTTGGTTTTTTTCATGATGCCATTGTGCCATAGGGACACAGGTGTATATTTGGAGTGGTGTATTTGTAGAAACATACAGGCTAGTAAGTTTCCAATTCAGTTTGAGCACCAAAGTCCAATTCAAGATGTAGGAATCATCTTCCAGTGAACAAGACAACAGTCAGCTTTAGGGGTTTTTATTAGATGTGGGAGGTTCCTAGTGCTTGCATTGCTATTGCAGATTTTCTCAGTCTTCAAACAATCAAAAGTGTGTGCTGCTTAAATGTTTTTTCAACAGCCATCTTTCCAAATCTAGCATGGCTGAGCAATTTGCAGCTTTGAAATTGTGTTTTGCAGCTAGCTACAGTTCACTGGATTTCAGTTTCTTCGTTCCTACTAATAATCATTCATACTATCTTTTGTGCTACAAAACTGTCAGGTTTTTGCATCATAGGCGTGCCTATTTTTGGTATATTGCACAATCACAGATCTGATTGTGACACTTGCTGTGCGAAAGATATATAAAGTAGAGAGCACTTTTCTTCCTCCTTAAAATACGGTAATTCTGATCTCTTAAATAATAATGTTGTAGGAAAAAAATGCATGGCAGCCAAGTTGAAGTTGTTTACACACTATTGTTTTATATACACCAAGCATATCATATAAAATGCTACGTAGATGCAGTATTTACAGTTGAGATTACTGTGGAAATGGATATTGTGCTAACATATTTGTACTTCCACCAAAAGTGTACACTTTTCTTTTAGAAGCACACCATCTGTTATCTATGTGCTAAAATAATTTCAAATATCAAAAAGCGCTTTTTTCAGACAGATAAAAAACCCCATGGGATTATCATAGAATTGTCAGGGTTGGAAGAGACCTTAGAGATCATCTAGTTCCAACCACACTGCCATGGGCAGGGATATCCCCCACTAGATGAAGCTGCTCAGAGCTTCATCCAGCCTGACCTTAAAAGCTTTCAGGGATGGGGCTTCTACCACCTCTCTGGGCAACCTGTTACAGTGTCTCACCACCCTCATGGTGAAGAATAATGTATCAGTATTTGCCTTTTGACATAATCTGTTTAACAACAAAATGGTAGCAGCCTTTTGTTAACAGGTCTTGACAGCAAACTGCAGGCATGCATACCACTATCTTATAGAACACAGAGGTTAATGCTAAGCAGAAAGGTGTGTGGAAATAGATTTCTGTGTAATAAATACTGTACTTTCTTGTGAAGTAAGCCATTTACCTCTACGAGTATTTAGAATCTGATAGCCCATGGGTGTGGGGGGCATTTGCAAATAGATTACTCTTAGATGGTGAAATGTTTAGTTTTCTAGATCTTTGGGCAATTTTCAGCAAAGCAGACTATCTTAATGGTCTTGAAATGAATTCTACAGGTTTTTATTACACCTTGCTGATAAAACTGGAGGTATTATTGTGACTAATGATAACTTCAGAGAATTTGTGACAGAATCACTTGCCTGGAGAGAAATTATTCAAAAAAGGTAATTACTCAATTTCTATGGAAGTTTAAAAGGATGTCTGTCCTTACAGTTGTAGGCACTTTCATGTGGGATTTTTTTTTTTTTTTTTAAATTCATCTATCGTGCAATTCTGGTAGAATCAAACAAAGTACTGTCTGTGTTTCATCACTTTGATTCATGGCCTTGTAGTCGTATGTTGAGCACTATAGTGTCCCTATTACTCATATATGCTCTAACGTATGTCTGTCAGTGGCTGACATAAACAGGAGCTTGGTATAGCGGCCAAGCAGTGTCACTTCTGAAGCTTGGTGTTAGATCCTGTTAGAGTATATGCTTTGCAGTCAATTCTTGCAGAATTTTTTTACACTTATTAATATTTTTTTACATTTAATTTCTTCAAGGAGAAGTAATAACTGTTGCAGACATAGTGTCACTTCTAAGGTTTCACAATCAGTCAGTCTTTGCTGTAGTACAAGTTTGTGTAACTAAACAAAATAAGGAACACTTGCAACGTATCCCTGTAGCCATTTCCCTGCAATTGTTGAATGTCCTTTGGGTTGAGGTGTATTCACTTCGCTGTCAACTATCAGTGCTTCAGCTTCTCTGTGAATTATAATTTCTCCTGTGCAACTGGTTTCTGGTTTCTGGTTTGTGGGGTTTTTTGTCTGTTTTTTTTCAGAGGTTAGAGCTGGACTGGTTACTAAACGTGTGACAGATGCTCTCTAACCCCTCTCCCTCCCTGAATGGGAAGGGGAAGAGAATAAGGCAGAGAGACTGAAAGATTGGAAGTCTAAAACAGCTTTAATAAAAAATAATAATACTAATAAGGAAATAATTGAATATATATGAATATATAAAAAAACCCCAACAATATCAAACCCAGTCCATCCCCTGCCCTGGCAATTACTGCTGGTGCTGCAGAGCTGACAGACACCAGGAAAGTCCCAGGCTCAGCAACAGAGGGGAAACAGATACAGAAACTGTATTTGGGAACTTGGGTTCGGATCGAGGGCAAAGGAATGGATGGAGTCCTCCTCAGACACCAGCAGTTGAAGAAAAGGGCTTAACCCCTGTGATCCCTCATATTTATACTGAATGTGACATAAATGGAATGGAGTACTTCTGTTGGTCAGGTCTGGGCCACCTGTCCTGTCTGTTCCTTACCAGAGGTGCGATCTTTTTACTTCCGTGTGACCCTTTTACTTCCTGGCACCCCAACGCGGTACACAAGATTTAGCAGTGATCTTGGTTACTACAGGACCCAGTAGAAGAAAGAGCTTTTCTGCATACCAGTCCCTGGTCATAACTGTAAACATTTGGCATTATTATTTCTAGTAGCAGACACTGTCTGCAAAAACATGCTGTTAAATTCAGGTGCAGCCTCTTAGAAGAGACTGAGCTGAAAAGTAAGATATTTGAACAGGGTTGGTTCTCTATAGCTCAAGCCAGGGTACCCCTCCGTTAAATCAGGTCATTTTACTGTTTATATATGATCTTCTGTTGCCCAAATTTCTCACTAATCCCTTGAAGCCTCCCTAATGTCTTCTGAGGGTGTATGTGCTACCATGACTGGGATGTGTATAGATCTAATGAAATAAATAATTGAAAACTGTCTGGTGTTCTCACAGTATAGCTGAAAGAGCATGGAGTTGATGTTGGCTAATCATGTAGGTATTTAGGCTATTTCTTGAGTGAATTTTAACCAAGTCAGGTTCCGTTCCACAGAATTTTAGCAAGAATACTTAGCACATCATTCTCAGTCTATGTGGTGTTTTGGTTTGGGGGTTTTTTTTAAAGAGCTTGTATTAACACCTGCCATTACTTTTACATCTAGGGAAATTACACTGTATCAAATTCTCTCCTTGCAGACAAGTTGTAGTTAAACTGGTTTCCTTCAATGCAGATTTCTCTCTGTTCCAAAATTATTCCAGGAAAAAAAAAACACAACTTCTTTGTGTCTTAACTGTAAGCAACAAATGCGATATTTGCTACTTGTGTGGCTTTCTGATAACATGTGCATTTTAGCTACATAGCTGAAGATCCTTAAAAGGAAGGGGAGTTTGAACAACCAGAAAATCTTCTCCAATCAAGTAGAAAATGCCGCTCAGGTCTCTGCAAAAAGTTTCAGTCATCCAACACTTGCTGACCAAAAAGATAAAAACCGCACACATACAGCCCCTTCCCAACTCCTCCCTATCACCAAAAAAAAAAAAAACAACCCAAAAAAACCACTCAGTGTTTTGCAGCATAATGGTGACAGTTCAGATAAGCTCCCGTTGAATTATTTTGTCAGTGAATGCTGGTTTTATCTAAAATTTATCATTAGTCACTCCTGATGTGTTTAGAAGTAGCAGCTCTAAGACTGCTACTGTGCTACAGAGGTGTAGGGCAGCAATGGTGCAATACATTGTTAGCAAATAATACTGAAAGAACTCTCTTGCAGGTTGCTCCAGTACACCTTTGTTGGTGACATATTTATGGTTCCTGATGATCCATTGGGAAGAAATGGACCTAGATTAGATGACTTCCTTCAAAGCGACGGCTATTATAGGTACAAGCACTATTTTCACTTCCGAGACAGTTACGGTTTTATTTGAAATAAACTGTTTTCCTGGTAGGCTTGAACATCTATAGATCTATAGATCTACAAAAAATCAAGCAAGAAGAGTTTAGGATGTAGTAATTTAACAAAAACATAAACATGTTTTTCCTGTTACTTCAGTCTGTTCAGAAACTGCTGGTGACATTTGCATCTAATCAAGATCTGTCTCAGAGCTAAGATAAGTAAGACAATGACTTCCTCTGGTGGCTTTCACACAAAAATGGTGCAAACTGTGTCACTGGGTCTCACAAAGCACCAGTGGTTTGGGATGTGGTAGCCTGGTAACATGTTAATTGCAGCAATGTGATTTAAAACACCTTGATTGGTCACTTGTTCACAGTGGGACAATAGGTGCTACAAAAGAAACTCTCTACATTCATATTCTTTGTCACAGGAGAGGCACTTCATACTTTAGGGTATTGTACCATTAATAAAATTATCTTTGAGAGGTATTGTTGTTAAATGCATTTATATTTGATTCATAATTTTAAATATTAATTCTTCTAAGATTATTGTACTTTTAAACATCCATATATTCAAAGTATGAATTTGCTTTGCATTAGCTGCTGAGGCTTGAGAATGTGTTTACTCTTTTGTGCAAGGAAATAAACTGCTCTTTGCTCTTTCTTTTTACTGGCTTAGGAACTATAAATAATAATACTGAGGAGTACTGAGAGAGCTTTTAGAAAAAGTGAGGTAGTTAAAAATCAGCAATACAAAAGGCAAGCTGTACTTAAGGATTAATATGAAGAACAAGCAGGTATCTCAGCTTTTGGAAACAACTGAGAAATGTGAGACATACCAGCTGGTCACAGGTTGATTTGAAAATAAGTGTGTAATGTTGACAGGGAAAAGCAAGTGCAGTCCTAGAACTCGAGTAGGAAATGCTGAGAAATTATTCAAGCTCTAATATAAAACCCTTATGTCACTTGGAATACTGTGTTTTAGCAACCTGTGTCCAAGAAAAACTAAGTGACGACACAGCATGTGCTGAGAGGTGACTGTGACAACTATAGAAGTGGAAAGACACTTTTTTTGAGAAGACTCTGGAAGAGCTTGGTTTCCTGACTATGAACTTTGAACTGGAACTAGGCTCTGTTTTTTGAGGGTGTGAGGCATCAGGTTTTAAGACAGAGAAAAGTACCAGTGGAACAAGTTAGTTGTGTTGCTTTTCTGAGACTTTTTTACTTGAGTTAAATGATGCAGAAAACGACACCAGGTATAGGATCAGGAACTAAAAGGATCTTGAGCAATTAGAGAGCTTTTCCCTGTTGAGTATTGGGAGGTGTCATAACTTAAATGTTTTTAAAAGAGTGCTCTGTAATTTAGACACTGTTGCCCTTGGTGGTAGGAAACTAGACAGCAACATGAGTTTCAGTTCAGATTTCTGTTTTATCTGGTGGCATCTGAAGGAGGCTTGGCCCTACATTTTGTAGTGCTCGCAGTTTAGAGTAGCAACAACTTTTCAAAGTCTGAAGCAAAATCTCAAACATTAGGGAAGAATATTCAGAACCTGAAATGTCTGAAAACTTTTATTGCCCCATTAATGAGATCATGTAATCATTGATTTAAAGATGAGCACAACTCAGTCATGAGCAAAAGTAGATGGGGAATAGCCTTGTGGAGCATCTGGAGGCCCGTTTGACCTGTCAGTGCTTTAACATGTTCTCAGTCAGTGTACATGTTTAATATATCTTTTAATTCGTTTAGCTCAATAACACTTAAGTTAATACTTTCCTAAAATAAACTTCAACTATTGCTGTATTCTATCAAGTAAAGTCCTCACAGTGTATTGAAACAAGTCCAAGGTAATGTTAATTAATGTTATTAGTCAAGCTAGGTTCAAACTGAAAACTGTTACACCTACTGCTTTGTTTCACTTCGAAAAAATTTATGTGAGTCAGTAACAAGCTGAGCAACAGTGAAGTATAGGAGTTACATGCATTTTTCTCTTCTGTGTTTGTAGAGAGACAGCTAGCATCTCCTTTACCTTAATCAAAATTTTTATTTTGTTTCACAGAAATTTTCGGTCGGCACAAGAGGATTTTCAGGGCAGTGGACGATACTCTCCTGAGACACCTTTCTTCTTACCCGTCCCCAAAACAATGAGTAGCAGTCAACATCCTCAAAACAGAGTGCATGATGATCATGCATCAACATGGCTTCCGCTGGAAACAAACATGCAGGCTTGTCTAGCAAACCCACCACAGAGATCTGCCTCAGAAACAGTACAGCTAAGAGAAGCCCTGATAAAAATTTTTCCTGATTATGAGCAAAGACAGAAGATTGATCTAATATTAGCAGATCATCCATTCATGAGGGATCTTAATGCACTGTCTGCCATGGTGCTTGACTAAGTTTTTATATCACAACTGATCTGACTAACTTTGAATATCAATGTGAAGAAGAATGTTGCTCTGTTACATTACTTTGTGAATATTCACAACCTAATTTTATTTGTATAAACAGATTTTTTTTGTGTGTGTGTATGTTCTGTTGCTGATAGATGCCAGTTTTTGGTAAATTAAAAACTGCTGCTACTACGTATTTGTGGTAATATTTTCTATGAAAAAACCCAAATCTTCTGCTTCACTTGAACTGCTTATTAAAGCAGTAGCAGTTCTAACCACTTTAGTGTGTTAGCACTTCTTAAAAACCCTTCTCTTCAAAAGGGAAAAGTCATGTCAGAGGCTTAGAAGTGACTCCTCAGCTGTACAGCTTCAGATGCACATATAACATAAGCTGTGCACCTGTCAAATACCATTGCTGGTGTTTTTATCTAGAATATAGATGTTCTTTGAAAACCTGTGCTCTATTAGTAGCTCCTTTACTTAGGTACTTAAAAATATTTCTCCGTGGAAATAAAACGAGCCCTTTTAATATTTTCAGATATGAAAACTTCTTAAGCCTGCATCATGGATTTTGGGAATAGGCTATACTCTTAAGGGTCTACGGGCAGCAGTTTGAAGATTTCTGTGGGGGAGCAGTGGGTGTTCGGCATATCGCTGAAGTGCTGTCACAAGGTGGCGTCATGCATCTGTTTTGTAATTATCAGCAAAAAAGCTCCTGATAGTCTAAAGTGTTCGTTCTTCTGTAAAGGAATAATCGTTCTTATATAGAGAAAGACTAAATGCAAGACACAACAGTAACTGTAGGAGTGGTATGGATAAAATTGTATATTATACCGATGACTTATGGATACTGAGCAGACTTCTGATATTATGGGCATCTAAGAAGATTTGTATATATGGATAAAATCTTAGTGCTCGTGGAATGAAAGCCAAGAAAATCCATTTGCCTGTTTATCCAGGTTGAGAGATACTGTGGTAGATTAGTAAGGAGAGGGAAGGTTTCCATTACAAAGTGTAAATTTACAACTCAACAGCAGATGTTTGTAATTCTTTAAAAGATCCGTGATACCTGTATTGGTTTCTAAGTTGTAAATGCCTTTGATCATCAATAATTTTTCAGAATAATTTTATTACCTTTAATAAGTTGCACTAACTGGCTGTCTTTGCCCTGCCCAATCTAAATCTGAATGCTGAGATAAACAGCATCATATTGTGTTAATAGCTTATATGGAAATGCCATGCTGTTTTGTGCAGAACTAGTATGCTGCGGTTAAAAGTCAGTTCCACACCTTTACATCCATACTTTTAAACTGTTTTGTGAGCATCGAAATCGTTATATAAAATTAA